CTGGGTTCTAGCTCAGTGACTTACCAGCTGTGTGAACTTAGGCCATTTCACCCCTGTGTGAGTGTTTCCTCACCTGTACAGTGAGGGAAGCACTCCTGCTCTGCTTGCCTTATGGGGAATTTGAAGATCAAATGAGACCGTGTTTGGGAACCGTAAAATCACTATGCGGACGACCAGCTTAATCATGCTCACAGTGGGAACATCAAATCCTTTCTGCCCGGTTCACTCAATTCTGCATTTAATTTACATACTGTGAATTTTACCCCTCATTCTTGCAGTAAAACCCTTTGGGGAGTATCATATTTAGACCTGGAATTGCTATATGTGTAGTTGCTCTCTTCACCTTAGAGTCCTCTGAGACAAGGAAAAGACTGGAATTGGGGGTGGGGAGAATAGACCCAGAGAGATAGTAGCCCAAGGGCACAAAGAATCCTGATGTTTTTCTTTCCTAGATGACACTGATGTCTAAGTCCAAAGCCGAAGATTCTCATCAAAAGTTAGACTCACTGGGGCGGCTGGGTGGCTCAGTCAGTTAGGCATCCGACTCTTGATTTCAACTTACAGTTGGTGGGATTGAGCCCTGTGTTGGGCTTTGCGCTGACGGCACAGGACCTGCTTGGGATTCTCTCTCTCCTTCTCTCTCTGCTCCTCCCCTGCTTGCATGCACTTTCTCTCCCTCTCAAAATAAATAAACGAACATAAAAAAATTAGGACTCCCAAAACAGTTCCCCCAATTTTCCCCTTCTCCGCATCTTCTCCCTTTGGATGAAATTGCTGAGTTTGTATGTTGCTATCTTGAGCCATACTGGGCGCAGCACTTAGTAACTCTAATGGCTGGGCATAGAATATATATTTGGTAAATATTTAAAATAGAGGGAAATAAAATTGTTCTCTTATCATCTTGAGTTTCTGAAACTACAGCTCGAGAAACAACACGTTCACTATATTTCCACAAATCTGAGATGCCATTGCTGCTTAGACCCACCGTTTTTTACGTATTGCAAAGAGAGGAAAAGCTTTATCAGTTAAAATGTGACACAGTGCTTCCTTATTGTGTCAATTATAAGCCACTTTGATTTCACAGATGTTAAAATGTGAAATAAATATGCATTTTAGAATAAATGAAATGCAGCGTGTTTACCTCTTCCAAAAGGTAAAGCTTTCTGCTTTTCGTTCTGATGCATTCTTAGATTAGCAAACTTCAAAATGGTCTCATTTTTAGTCTCAGCTCCTTGCATTTACACGTGGTATGCAATCATGCTCTTATGTGGGTTGAAAGGGGACATTAAATCGATTTTTCTTATGGACACAATAGTACCAAGTACTTCCCTGCACTTGAATATAGATTTAGGTAAGGGCGGACTATAAAATACTTGTCAGAGCCAAAATGATAATAGTTCTGTGATCTGTTGTTTATTACGAGATTTAAAAGAGTGAGAAATGTTTAAGGGCGTTTGATGGATCTATTGTGGGTTTTTTTTATCCTCCCAAGTAGTGCTTTTTATTACTTTTGTTGTTACTGTTGTTCTATTTAATGCTTGATTGGGCTGTTTTGTGGCTCTTATTTAGGTTATTGTTAGTTCAGTAAAGCAACTGAACTGTGAGTGTCCCACTGCACAGAGAAATTAGGCATGAATAGGTTCAGGTGATGAGAGCTGCCTGGGTGAGATAGGATGTTTTCATAAAATGTAAGGTGGGAACTCATCATCTTTCCAGGCAGAAGGGAGTGTGAAGAACAGGAAAATACAGCTTCTGTGACAATCCTTTGCACATTTTTCACAGACCAGTTCTTGCTCATAATTCTACCTGTTTCCAGCCTGTTCTGTAGTTTCCTTCTCACATTCCTTTGGTCCGTTGGGTCATTATCTATATGCAACAGCAAGAGAGTCACCACACAGAAAGGATTTCTAAGGACTGGACTGTGGTTGGGTGGAGAGGAGTGATCCAAATCATTGCAGCTCCTGTGGGCTTCCTAACAAACATTCGGTCACCATGATCCTTGCTCCCTGCTGGGGCCCCAGGCGCGTGTCGGCAGCCCGGCAGTCCTCGTGCTGGGCGGGAAGTGGGTGGAAAGCTGTTAATGTCTGGTCACTGCTAATGCACGTTTTGCCCACTGTTGTCTCCCCTGCAGTCTGAGTACCACTACGAGTACACCGCGTGTGACAGCACGGGATCCAGGTGGAGGGTCGCCGTGCCGCACACCCCGGGCCTGTGCACCAGCCTCCCCGACCCTGTCAAGGGCACTGAGTGCTGTAAGCATTCCTGCCGCTCACCTCTGGCCTCTGCCCCGAGCCTCCTGCCATCCAAGCCAGGCCCTCTCTGACAGCGCAGCTGCCTTAAGGAATCAGATCTCTCCCCCAGTTAGTCCCCAGCCCCTTTGAGATTTGGTACAGAAATGTGATTTCATGGATGCAAACTGGGTATCTAAATTTGCTTTTCTTTTCTTTCTTTCTTTATTTCTTTCTTTTTTTTTTAATTTAAATCCCATCAGGGGATAAAGTATGAGCAATTCCAGCTGTGTGCCAGTCAGCGATTTCTTTCTGTTTGCATACATTTTCTTTTGTGCCTGTGCATCTCTCTCCAGTCTGCACTTACCAGCCACAATCAGGCATTAGGAAAAGACTGTGATTTGCTTTTGTTCTTGAAAAGGAAGCCAGAGAAGATGAATTTCTGCACAGACAGACCTTTAAAATGCACTGGGCATCACTTCAGGGAACAAGAACCTTGCCCAGCTGTGGAGCTGACTGTGCGATCAGAAAAGCCGTGACTTGTCTGCAGCTCTGTCCCCACCTCTGCGACTCTGTAGTCACAATTTTTCTACAATTGGCAGCTATTTCCCCTCCACTGTTCTTCTAAGCAGTGTAAAGGGATAAAACAGGGACTAGAATCAAGGAATACTTGGAGATTTGGAAAGGAGATTTAAATTCTTTTTTTTTTTTTAATATTTATTCATTTTTGAGAGACAGAGCATGAGCAGGGGAGGGGCAGAGAGACAGGGAGACACAGAATCCAAAACAGGCTCCAGGCTCCGAGCTGTCAGCACAGAGCCTGACTCGAGGCTCGAACCCACTGAGCGCGAGATCATGACCTGAGCTGAAGTAGGACGCTTAACCAACTGAGCCACCCAGACACCCCGAGGGCATTTAAATTCTTTAAAAAAAACCCAAAAACTTACATAGTGCCTGGTTCAGTCGGTGAGCAAATAAATTATTGTATAAACTACTGAACGGATATTGTGAAGATCTGAGCGGGACTGAGGTGTGACTGCTGCAAACAAGTGAGCCATCTTCAGGTAACTCCGCCAGCTTAACCGAGCTCTTATGTGCATGCACTGTGAACCACAGAGATATATAAGGCACAGTCTCTGCCTTCAAAAGCTTAACGTCTGGTGGAAGAAGCAGACATTCATTCCTCCATTCATTTTTTCAGCAAAACTATATGGAGCCCCTACTATGTCTGTGCCAGTTACTGAGCCACTGTCCCCAGAGGAGCTCAGAGCCTAGCAGCAGGCACACACCAATATGATGTATTCATATGAGATGACAAAGGACAGGAGGTACGGGTGCCTAGGGCTCAGGAACAACTCGGGGAACTACTTGGGCAGAGGTTTGCAGGTGGAAGAACACCAGACACATTCAGGGAAGAACATGTGGTCTGGGGTGGAGGCAACGCATGGAAGGTGACGGTGACAGATGGGGCTGTAGTGGAGCAAAGCCTGTAGTGGGAGATCAAGCTGGAAAGTTAGGTTGAGGACAAAATTGCAGAAGATTTTGAATGCCTGGCTGAGAGCTTAGATTCTATAACCCAAGGGGAGTGCCTGATGATCTCTTAAATAACAGGAATAATAGTACCTATCTGTGTTTTAGAAAGATACCTGTGACCGCAGAATGAGCAAAAGCAGGAAACAGGGAACTAGTTAGGAGGACTCTGTAATCATTGAGCTAACAGCCAGGAGAATCCCAACCAGCATGGTGGCAGTGGAGCCAGAAAGGAGACAGAGACCACAGACTCGGGGAAATTCATGGCTGAAGGGCTGGGCACCGTTCAGAAGACCATGGTATGCTCTACTGGAGAGCTCTCAGAATGGCCAAGGCTGTCCCTCAGGAAACGAAACCGTCAGGGACAAGTTCACTAAAGCAGAGCTCCCACAGCCCTAAATTTTATTTTTTATTTTTTATTAAAAAACAATTTTTTTTAACGTTTATTTATTTTTGAGACAGAGAGAGACAGAGCATGAACGGGGGAGGGTCAGAGAGAGAGGGAGACACAGAATCTGAAGCAGGCTCCAGGCTCTATGCTGCCAGCACAGAGCCCGACGCGGGGCTCGAACTCACGGACTGCAAGATCATGACCTGAGCCGAAGTCGGCCGCTCAACCGACTGAGCCACCCAGGCGCCCCGAATTTTATTTTTTAAAATAACCGCTTTATTGAGATATAATTTGTATATCATAAAATCCACCCCCTTAAAGTGTAAAGTCTAGTTTTTAGAATATTCACAGTTGTACAACCACTATCTAACTTCACAATATTTTCATCACCCCCAAAAGAAACATCATATCCGTGAACAATCTCTACCCACGTCCCTTCCCCCCAAGCCCCTGGCACCATAGATCTGCTTTCTGTCTCTGTGGATTTTCCTATTTTGGACTTTCCATATAATGGGAATCATACAAGATGTTTTAAATCTTAGTGGGTCAACTTCTGGATCTTGATCCTCTGCTCCTCATTTTAGGGTGCCCACAGGTTGCCTACTCCTCCTGGTGGCAGTGGCCTCACCACCCTGCCCTTGTCCCTTCTCTGCGTTCCAGCCTTTTCTTGCAAAGCCGGGGAGTTTCTGGACATGAAGGACCAGTCCTGTAAGCCATGTGCTGAGGGCCGCTACTCCCTTGGCACGGGAATCCGGTTTGACGAGTGGGATGAGCTGCCCCATGGCTTTGCCAGCCTCTCAACCAACATGGAGATCGAGGACACCACCACCGAGTCCACAGAGAACTGCACTGCGTGAGTGCCCCCTATAGTCCCCTCCCCTGTGCTGGGCTGGGGAGGATGGAAACCAGGGAGCCAAGCAGCCAAGGGTTAGGTTGGAGCAGCTTCCCACAGGACTGTTGGACATAACGCCCACCTCAGCCCACTCTTACTGATCCAAGCTTACAGTGACTGACAGGCGTTGGTGAGGGGTAAAGAACAGGGGGAAATAGAGAGGGGTGGATACGGTGGATAAGGGTTAAATGGCCCCGTCCACTTAAAATAGAACCTAACTGGATTTCTGCCATGGGATTTTGGATCAGCAATAAGCTGCCTCAACTTGATTGCAACCCAATGTGTAAAGCACTAGGTGTCTTCCTGGCTTTGGTGCTAACTTCTAAAACTGGTCAGCCCAACCTGAGTTTTTAGGTTTGAGGGAGATAGACTAGGGCCAGATCTTTGGTCAGTGGTGGGTGGGATCTTCCAAACCTCTTGAGACCCTGGTGACCAGAAAAAATTTTCTAGCTCAGAAGGAGATCTTTTCGGTACTTGAAAAGCTCAGCCCCAGGTGCTTGAGTAACTGGTGAGTGACCCTTATCATATCTTTCGATATTTAATTCCAGGGACAGGAATTAAATGATGTGCCTTCTATGTGTCAGGCACTATTCTAGATGCTTTACATATATTACTTTCTATAATTCTCTCAAGAACCCTCTGAAATTGGTTATCATTATTTCCTTTACACAAATGAGGAATTGGAGGCTTAGCAAGGTTAAGTGACTTGTCCTTTGTTACCCAGCTTAGAACTGGTGACATTGGAATTCAAACCCAGTCCTAAGCTCTCTACTGCCCCATGAAGCCACCGTCAGATAACATTTAGTGTATGCTAGGCAATGTCGGGTCCTAGGGAGGAGAAACAGAGGGGTGCACAGATGCTCTTTGTTAAATATTGACAAATAAGATGCGAGGAAAGTACCTGAAAGTTTCTCTTACCCCCAAGTAATCAAAAGGATAAAAGGAGTTAATGATTGTTTACACTTGGGTCTCTAAAACTGGGACCAATGTGTCCCGTTCCTACACTTAAAAAGAAGGCCCATTAGCGGAGCCAGGCAACAGGTATTTTATAGTCCGATTTTAATGTCACTTTAGAGTTTAATATTATGTGTCAAAATCATTGGCATGACAACGTTGGCAACAGAGATAAAGCCAGGGAGGATTAAAGCTGAAAGGAGACCCATTTACGTCCTAATAGAGAATGTAATTGACTCCACCTCCCCACCCCTGCAACAAGGTGCAGGCCCGGTCACCCAATCAATTCTTACCCGCTTGAAGAAAGGGTTTCTCTCTCTGGGGACCTCACTGAGAGTCCAGAAATCATTACCTCTCAGCAAGACAGGATGTGGGCCAGTTAATAACAACTTGTGTTTCCATAGCACACACTGCTTCAGGGCCTGGATCTTAAGGCATCCAAGACATCCCTGGGAGGGGAGAAAGAATGTTTCTCCTCTGTAGAAATGGAGACGAAATGGCCATCTAGAGAGGCTGTGTGATTTCCTTACCGCCCTCAGAAAGGCAATAATTGAGCTAGTACCGAGATGTTACCCGAACCCATGTCCACTGTCTCCAACCTGACCAGAGCCAGCCTCCCCGCTGTTCTGCCTCCGGCGCCCCCCAACTCGTCTCAGCCTCTGCTCCAGCCTCTGCATGCCACTGGCTGCCAGCAGCCAGACCGAAAAAACACAAGTCCAACCACCGTACTTCCCCACTCGAAACTCTAGATTCTGTGGATTCCTGTTGCTCCTGGAATAAAATCCAATACCTTGCCGCAGCCTGCGTGGCCTGCCTGGTCTGGCCTCTGCCTTCTGCTCATTTCTCCAGCTTCACCCAAATGCCTTCCCTCTGGCTTACTGTGTTCCAGCCACGTGGCCACCATACTCCTTCCCTCCTGGGTCTTTGGACACGCTCTTCTCCAGCTCTTCTGGCTCTCTGCTGCTTCACACTCAGGTCTCTGCCTGAAGGTCACTTCCTCGGAGACGCCGGCTCTGACCCCACAGATTCCCGTCACATACACACCCTTGCACCATCTTGTATTTCTCCTTATGGCACTTAGCAGACTTATTACTATGTGATCAATTGTGCGATTAGTTAAGTTTCCTAATCACTTCCATGCCTCGATTTCCTCATCCTAAAAAAACAAAACAAACAAACAAACAAAAAAAACAGTGTTAAAAATAGTATTCTTGTAGGTTGTGGTAAGGACTAAATGAGATGATCCATGTGAAGAATTCAGAGCAATCCCTGACACTAGAAATCAATCAACACGTGTTGTTATTATTGAATGTGAAATGATCTTCACCAGAGACAACTCTGACAAAACCCAGAATTGTGATGCCTTTTGCAAATGTAGCCCACTTATGGCATCCTTTTAATTATTCATCTCACTCTAGGAGTTATTTATGGAAGATGCCATGGAGCACATCAGCATTAAGCGTTGTCTCTTTTAGCAGGAGAAATCAATACCATTCGATTAGTTGGGGTGTCTGGGATGAGCTCAGCGTAGGTATTTGAGAATAACACTATTTTTTTTAATGTTTACTTATTTATTTTGAGAGAGAGAGTGGGGGGGGGAGTTCAGAGAGAGAGGGAGAGACAGCATCCCAAGCAGGCTGTTAGGGCAGAGCCCAATGCGGGGCTTGATCTTATGAACTGTGAGATCATAACCTAAGCAGAAATCAAGAGCTGGTCGCTTAACCAACTGAGCCACCCAGGTGCCCTGAGAATAACACTATTAAAGAACTTGAGGGGCGCCTGGCTGGCTCAGTCAGTTGAGTGTCTGACTTCAGGTCAGGTCATGATCTTGTAGTTCTTGAGTTCAAACCCTGCATGGGGCTCTTTGCTGACAGCTCAGAGCCTGGAGCCTGCTTTGGATTCTGTGTCTCCCTCTCTCTTTGCCCCTCCCCTGCTCTCTCTCTCTCTCTCTTTCTCTCAAAAATAAATAAACATTAAAAATAAATAAATAAGGAACTTGAAATACATGCTATTATTCTAACAAACACAGGTCCCCTTAACAGACCACTGTTAATACTTGCCTGGGCTGGTCTCAGGCAAAACAATGGAAGAGTGGGATTATCTTTGGTCACCATTTTCTACATTAATCTATACAATTCTGAGTCCCTCCTATGTGCCAGGCACAGGGCTTGGTCCTGGGGCTACATTAGTGAGCAAGATAAGTTTGGTCTCTGCCCTTAGAGCATCTGTAAGCCAGCCAGGAAGACAGACAATTAAAGAAGAATTAAAGAAGAATTAGAATATGATCAGAAGAGGGGGCACCTGGGTGACTCGGTTGGTTGAGCATCTGATTTTGGCTCAGGTTATGATCCCAGGGGCATGGGATTGAGCCCTTTGTCGGGCTCTGTGCTGAGCCTGGAGCCTGCTTAAGATTCTCCCTCTCTCTTTCTCTCTCTCCTTCTCTGCCCCTCTCCCCTGCTCATGCTCTCTCTCTAAAAAAAAAAAAAAAAAAAAAAAAAAAGAATATAATCAGAAGAAGAAGCCGAATTTCAAATAAAGAAAAGATGCTCAGCCTCACTAATAATCAAAGAAATAAGATGTAAAGCCCAATGAGACACTGTCTCTTACTACATCACATTGGCAACAACTTTACAGTCTGACCATTCCAAATTTGGGGAGGTCGTAGAGGAACAGGAACTCTCTCACGTGCTGGCGGGCACAAGTTGGTAGCAACTACTTTGGAGACGGTATGGCAGGAGCTGGGAGAGCTGGAGGTTCACATGCCCTCTAACCCAGCGGTTGTTCTCCCAACCACCTCCCTCAGACACGCGTACGAGGAGCAGAGCAAGTGTTTCTAACAGAGTGGGTACAAGAGCAAAACACTGGAAACAACCTAAAAGTCCACCAATGAGTAATGGGTAAATAACTCTGGTAGAACCATGCAAGGCAATATTATAGAGTAGCAGAAATGAAAAAATAGCTCTGTGTGAATAGGGATGAATCCCACAATCATCATGCTGAAACGAACAAAAAAAGTAAGTTTCAGCACACATAAATATGATGCCATTTACATGAGGTCTGAAAACGTGCAAAACCATGATCGTAGGGCATATTGTTTAGAAATACCTGCATGATTATTAAAGGATAAGGAACATGTGCAGATGGTAAGCACCATATTCTGGAAAGTTGTTACTTGGCTGAAAGGAGCAGGTGGTAGTCAAGGGCTTGAGATTAGCTGGGTGTACACCAAGGCTTCTGCTATATTGTATTTCTTAAGCAGGGTGGGGGTCTTCAATCTCTCATAGTATGTGTAAGTGAAGTAGTGGAGAGTTATGGCTACGAGAAGAGAATCTGTGAGAGTTCAGGGTACACATAGCAGAGGCCAGTAGAGTCAAGGGGGACTTCTCAGATGAGGTGACGTTATTTTAAGACATGAGGAGGAAGTAAACAGAGGGGGGGAGGAGGTAGTTTGTTCCAGGAAGAGTGACCAGCATGTGGGAATACCCAGGGGGAAGGAAAGTTTGGCAGAGAAAGTGAAAGAAATGCTGCAGGGCTGGAGTCTAGAAGGTTCTCTGGCCTTCCCTCTTCCCAGTTGCCAGTTACATGCAGCATCTAAAAGTGGGCATTTCCAAAAAAACAGGTGGGATAGATTGGATGGACTCTTGGTTTCTGAAAAACAGCAGTGTCTGCTAAATTTCGTTGACAGCTTCAGAATTAGGCAGACTTGGGTTTGAATCTCAGCCCTGCCACTTGCTGGCTGAGTGATACCGGGCAAGGTACTCACTGAGCCTCAGTTTTACCATCCATTAAGTGGGAATTAATGGAAATCATGAATATAAAATGTGTAGTTCAGTACCTGGGAGGAAGACAGGTGGGGGTACACCTACCTGTCTTCCTCATGTCGGCTGTATCTCCAGCCTCCTTGATCCAGAGGTCATTCTTTACTGAGCATGTTTGTGACTAAATTCCCATTTACGAGTCACGAGTCTGGAATTCCACCGAGACCCAGCAGGACATGAGACCTGCACTTCCCACAAAGCATGATGGGCCGTGCGCCTGCCAGTGAACTTGGCTCTTGTTCCCTCACAGGTCCAAGTGGGTTCCCCTGGGTGACTACATCTCCTCCAACACGGACGAATGCACAGCCACGCTGATGTATGCTGTCAACCTGAAGCAGTCTGGTTCCATCAACTTCGAGTACTACTACCCAGACTCCAGCATCATCTTCGAGTTTTTTGTAAGCCCCTGGCCATGGGGTAGGCTGGGAGGTAAAGGCTCTCCAAGGCTCAGATTCATTTACAGGATCACAAGCACATTTCCGGTTGGGGATTTTCCACAGTTGTCTTCCCTCTGGAGAGAACTATGGACAAATGGGCTGAGACTTCAAGATGTGGAGAGAAAGGCAGAAGTTCGGGGACTCTGCAGGGGCAGGAGACCCTAGGCATTCCGCCTGCTCAGACATGAAAACAGCATGTAAAGGCTTCTGAGTTATGAGTTATTTTTTCGGTGTTGATGCATTGCCTTTAAAAAAAATTTTTTTTTAATGTTTATTTACTTTTGAGAGAGACAGAGCATGAGCAGGGGAGGGGCAGAGAGAAAGGGAGACACAGGATCGGAAGCAGGCTCCAGGCTCCGAGCTGTCAGCACAGAGCCCGATGCGGGGCTTGAACCACGAACCATGAGACTATGACCTGAGCCAAAGTCAGATGCTTAACCTACTGAGCCACCCAGGCACCCCTGCTTTGATGTTTTGTGTGTATAACTAGCTCTTGCCCTGCTTTAGGACTAGTGTTTTGAGCTCAGTCCCCAAAGGAAACTGGAAACTCTTCCCCCATAAGAAGAGCCCTCTGGAAGGCTGTTGCAGCATGGGGGGGGGGGGGTGAAGAACCCATTTTCTTGGAAAGCTTTGACTCTGTCCCCAAACTCTTGCCGCCTCAGGTTCAGAATGACCAGTGCCAGCCCAATGTGGATGACTCCAGGTGGATGAAAACCACAGAGAAAGGGTGGGAATTCCACAGTGTAAGTATCATACCAGCCTTCTTGGAGCCTTTCCTGGGGATACCAGAAAAGGGATCAAGGGCTTTTCCTCCAAGGACAGTTTCCTACTGGTCTGGGCTTCCCAACCCTCTGTCCCTAGAAGGCAGGGGTCTGACATGATGAGGATGCCATAGTTTCTGTCCTCTTGAGTTGACAGAATATGGGTGTGGGCCGACTTGCTCCCATGGCTCGACCCCAAGGACCAGCAGCTTCGCAGGGTTAAGGGCCAGGTCTTCTGGGGATACACAGAACCAGAGAAGAGTGAGGGAAGTCCACTCACCCTCCTGTCAGCACCTTCAGGCTCCTCCATGGGTCTTACCTTGGAGATACTCATGGTATATGTGGGTGAGGGAGAGGCCATGAGGGTTGTAAGAGGAGGCTTCAAGGCAGAGAGGAGCTAAGCTGATCTGGGAGGAAGGGCAGAGCTGAGGAAGTTGAGGGAAGGGATCAGAAGAGGTGCCTCCACGCAGACAGTAAGGGGAAGAATCCCCACAAGAGGCTAATCCGATGGATTAGGGATATCCATCTCTGCAGCTAAATGAACTTCCTGTTTGCGGTTTCTAGGTCGAGCTAAACCGAGGCAATAATGTCCTCTATTGGAGAACCACAGCCTTCTCAGTGTGGTCCAAAGTTCCCAAGCCCGTGCTGGTGAGAAACATCGCCATAACAGGTATCAAGGGGGAGTTGGGTCCGGCATCTGCTGCTGATTTCCTAACTCTGTGTGTGTGTGTGGGGGGGGGGGGGGGGCTGGTGAGGGCCGGTCCCCAGGCCTCAGTCTCTAGGCTCAACCGTTGCTTTTCTATGTTGTTCGTCCTCCCTAGGGGTGGCCTACACTTCAGAATGCTTCCCCTGCAAACCTGGCACATATGCAGACAAGCAGGGCTCCTCTTTCTGCGAACTTTGCCCAGCCAACTCTTACTCAAATAAGGGAGAGACTTCCTGCCACCAGTGTGACCCTGACAAATACTCAGGTGATGTTTCTGAGGGTGGGTAGAGTTTGGTGGAGGTGGGGAGGGGGTGATAACCAACAAACATGGGGAGAAAACAGGAAGGAGAGCATCCTTCTGACCATGCTGAAGACGATGCTTCTTAAACCCTGGTTTCCTGGACACTGGAAGAGCCCTGCTGATCCACACTCCA